AAATTAAATGCCATCAACAATTTAATGACCATTATATAAGAAGAACTCTTTTAAGAGTTTGGAATAAAGTTAAAAGTAATTGGCGAGATGTACTCCCACTTTGGACTGCAATTGGAGAGGTAGTGAATAAAGAAAATAAATTTAGTAATTCTAAATGGTTAACGTATAAGGATCTGTTGATAGAAAAAACATCAAATTTTGAAATTAAAACACAAATGCAATTGAACCAAGAGGGATATAATTATAATTGGTTTTCCTATAGACAAATAAAAGAAAGATTTAGATTAGACCAAAGAAATAGGAAGATAGGACAACTAGATCAGCAATTAGAGGATATTATTTGGAATAAAGAGAAACATAAAATTTCTAAATTTTATAAGGTTTTGCAAACAATCGAAATGGAACCTGAAATTATTAAACCCTCAATGGTTAAGTGGGCCCAGGATTTTGGGAAATCTATAGAACTATCACAGTGGGAAAAATGTTGGACTAGGAAACTGAGCTTCACTCTTAGCTATAATATAAAAGAAAATTTTTATAAGATGATGTATAGATGGCATCTCACACCAACCCGTCTAGCCAAAATTTATAAGTCATATTCAAACAAATGTTGGAAATGTAAAAGAGAAATTGGAACTTTTTACCACCTCTGGTGGAAATGCAAAAAAGCACAAAGTTTTTGGGAAATTGTTAGGGCTACACTTAGCGAAATATTAAGGTTTAACATTAATTTGGATCCACAAATATTTTTGTTGGGAATAAACTTAGATGAAACTTTAGAGAAAAATTATGGAAAGTTGATTTTTTATTCTCTCTCCGCTGCTAGAATTCTTTATGCTGCAAGTTGGAAAAGAAAAGACATCCCGTTAATGCGAGATTGCTTTTCGAAAATTATTGAGTTTATGGAATTGGATAGATTGACGGGATTGATCAAAGGAACGGACTATAAACGGTTTAAAAAGGATTGGCAACCCTGGATTCAGTTTTTTGCACTGCGGGATATTAAATTAATGATATAGATGAGACATCTAGAAGTATTACCGATAGGGGTTTCCTTGGATAACGCACGGTCAATTTGCTAACGAATTATCATATAAGTGTTAATATAGATATGTTACTAGTAGGCTCTAGATTCTTTATATTTCTTTATTTCTGTAATTTAATTTAACTTGAATAGTGAAAGAGAAGCTACTAGTTTAACCAAGTCTTGAAAAATTTATTGACAACTATACTGTTTGGTCACTTAGTACTCCTGTATAGGAGCTCATGTCGAGGTCAAAATTACAGGCTAAAGCACAAGATGTATTAGACACAGGAAGTCTTTCTACTTTTCTGTTTTTTCGTTTTTTTTTCCTTTTTGAAGTAAGTTGTAATTTGATATTTTGTTTATTTATTTTCTTTAGAGTATTAGAGTATTATATAACTTCAACTGTAAAAAATACTTTCTATTATTATTTTTTTAATAATTGGATGTTCTATATGTTCAACATATTCTGTGATCTTTTTTTGGTTTATGAATGGAATTAATAATGTTTTTAAACAATAAAATTTATTAAAAAAAATATAATAAAGCCTACTACTAGAAGCTTGGATATTTGCCTGCGTGCTGATGTGTTCTCTGCTACAAGCTGTCCTGCTGCATGGACTACTCTGCTGAATGGATTTATCTTCACACACAAACCTGCTACTTCAACATTCAATAATAACAACAACACATCTACATAGATCACTAAAGTGACTCTTCCTTTCCTGTACACACAGGCATCTGCGATGCTGCATTTGTATCCCAGCCTCACCAGCTCCTCATGGATATACAAATTCCAGCAGCACGCACTCTGCTTCAGCCCATAAAGGACTTTCTTAAGTCTGCAGACTTAGCCCTCCTTGGCATTGTCAAAGCCTGGTGCCTGTTCCATAAAGACTTCCTCCTCTAGCTTGGCATTCAGGTAGGCTGTTTCAAAATCAAAATGCCTCACTACCTGATCCTTCCTGGCAGCCAATGATAGCACCAACCTTAGGCTCTCTGGCTTCACTGTAGGTGAGAAGGTTTTATCAAAGCTTTCAAAGGCCTGTTAAGTAAGAGAAGCCCCTTGCTACCAATCTCCCTTTGTATTTGTGAGTCCCATCAGGCATATCCTTTTTCTTGAAGATCCACTTACAGCCTATGACCTTCCGGTCACCTGGCCTGCTCACCACATCAAATACATCCCTTTTCACCAGTGAAGAAAACTCACTCTCCATAGCCATAAACCACTTCTCCTGTTCTTCCCTGGGAAAAGTGAGAAGCTCCTGGTAGCTTTCTGGGTCTTCTGCTGTTATGGCACACATCCTAGCATTTTGCACCACAAAGTGCTCAAGTAGCCTTCTGACTTTCTGAGTCCTCCTAGGTATGATTACCTTGGTCTGGCCCCTCTCATCCTCACTATCACTACTCATCTGTACCCCCATCTCTGTGGATCAAGGGTCTCAAACTTTCATGTGGTGATGGGTGAGGTCCAGTTGGCTCACTGGAGGTGCTGGGCTGGCCTGGTGTGGCCTCAGGTGTTTCCACCCCTCCAGTCCCAGTACTACCTCCCTGTTGTCCCAGTGTTACAAACACCTTGTGGTTTGAGTGAATACTCTCCCACACAGAGTGTTTTTCAAAATTTGTGCTCCTGGACAACAAGATGTGTCCATTACCAAGGTAGAACCTATAGCTGTTCCCCCTAATACCCCACAAACATCAGCCTGTACCACTTGGGATCACCTTTCCTCCTGAAATTTTGGGGAACCAGAACATTGGCGAGCTGCTCAAACACCTTCTGGTAACTAAGGTTGTGTGGTCTGCCATACAGCAAGTAGTAAGGGGTCTGCTTGACTCCTGAGTTCCACACCCTGTTGCTGATGTGACAGGCAGTCAGGATTGTCTCCTGCCCCCCCAGACCCTCTGAGGCCCCTGCATCCATCAGTGTGCAGTCTTTTATCTGCATAAGCACCCCAATCTTCCTCTCCGCCAAGCTGTCTTCCAGTGGGGTGGTGGGCTTGGTGGTTTTATGGTGGATGCCCTTCTTCAACCAGTTCCTCAGACTTGCAGATAAGAATTCACCCCTATGGTCTGTCACCAAGGCTCCTACCTTGTAATCAAACTCCCTTTCCACCATCTCCACCCAGGTTTTGAATGTGGCAGCCACCTGATTTTTCTCCTTTAGGGTGAAGGCATAGGTGACCCTCGTATCACGATCTACGATCGCCATTAAATACCTACTCCCCCCTACAGATCTAAATGAGTCCATTTGCACTGCTTGGAATGCCATCTGTATGATGCACTTGCTCCTCTTTGTAACAGGATAAGCCCTCAGCTTAATCCTGCTACACACAGAGCATTCCAAGTGGTTCCTGACCTCATCCCACTTCAACCCTGGGCACACATTTTTCAGTTTTTCCAGACCTGTGAACCCAGTATGTCCCAACACCCTGTGGAGATAGTGTGCAGAGTTTAA